CTTGGTGATAAATAGGGAATATTTATCTTTTTCCAAAGGCTACTGGACTTTCTTGTTGTTTTTTTCTTGAAGATGTTTTGCTTCTCATCCAAGAAGCTTCTTCAGTCCTGACTGAATGGTGGAGAATGGAAGACAGGGATCTTCAAACTTGGCCCTTTGATGACTGGTGGACTTCAACTCCCAGAATTCATAATTCCCACAAGTCATCAAAGGACCAAGTTTGAAGACCCCTGTCTTAAATCTAACAAACAAAATGGAGGCTGGCTGAGGAATTCTGGGAGATGAAGTCCACCAGTCATAAAAGGGCCAAGTTTAAAGACCCCTGCATTAGAGAAAACTAAGGCCAGACCACCTACAAAATGAATTGAAGTCAAGGAGGCTTACTCCCACATAAATAAATATCTCAGTTACGGTGGATTTGGCTCTATTTTTTAATGTTTTTGTTTCAAGGACATAAAGGACTCCACGTTTCAGGGAGAAGAAGACAGAAGTACCGGAATTGAGGCGATTTAGCAAACTTTAATTTTCAGGGGGAAAAAAAACTAGTAGTGCTGTGTAGGCAGGAGGCATTTATTTATGACTTTCTTCACATGATTTATGGCCCTACCAATCATAGACTCTGGTCTGCTTGCAGTAAAAAAAAGAATCCTCCAGAGTTTTAAAGAAACAGGAAAGGCATACTTAAAATTAAACCCTGATCCAGAAAGCACTTTAGTTTCCCATAAATATCAGAAGACCAGAAATACTCCAGGATCCCAGCTATTGCTTCTCCCCCCCTCCCCCCCAGCAGAACTATTCTAAACTGCTTCAACCAGAGGAAAAATAAATAACTCTGAATTTCTCACACGGTCACGAGCTATTGTTGCAGAATTGGATGTGAAGGAGAGAAAAGCCACAGAAGCTCGGCACGAATTTAGGGAATGTATTCATTCCAGCAGGATAGAGAGAGAGAGAGAAGCGAGGGTCATCTGTCATCTGTCATTTTGTTTGTAGGTGTGACCAGCTTTTGTGGGGCTTTAGAACAGTTACAGCTTTCATAACACCATCCTTACATATGAACCGGGGTGGTGCAGTGCTTAGAATGCGGTATTGCAGGCTGACTCTGCCCATTGCCAGCAGTTCGATCCTGAGGGGCTCAAGGTTGTCTCAGCCTGCCATCCTTCTGAGGTCGGTAAAATGAGGACCCAGATTGTTGGGGGAAACAGGCTGACTCTGTAAAACTGCTTAGAGAGGGCTGTAAAGCACTGTGGAGTCGTATATAAGTTCAAGTGCTATTGCTATCTTTCCTCCCTCCCTCTCTTCCTTCCTCCCTCCCTCCATCCCTCTCTCTCCCCTCCCTCCCTCCCTCCCTCCCTCCCTTCCTTCCTTCCTTGATGGCACAGCGGTTGGAATGCAATACTGCAAGGCTGACTCTGCCCACAGTCAGGGGTTCGATCTTGACCAGTTCAAAGTTGACTCGGCCTTCCATCCTTCCGAGGTCGGTAAAATGAGGACCCAGATTGTTGGGGGCAACAGGCTGACTCTGTCAACCACTTAGAGAGGGCTGTAAAGCACTGTGGAGTCGTATATAAGTCCAAGTGCTGTTGCTATCTTTCCTCCCTCCCTCCCTCGCTCCCTTGATGGCACAGCGGTTGGAATGCAATACTGCAAGACTGACTCTGCCCACAGTCAGGAGTTCGATCCTGACCGGTTCAAGGTTGACTCAGCTTTCCATCCTTCCGAGGTCGGTAAAATGAGGACCCAGATTGTTGGGGGGGGGAGGCAACAGGCTGACTCTAAAAACCGCTTACAGAGGGCTGTAAAAAAGCACTGTGAAGCGGTATATAAGTCTAAGTGCTGTCGCTGTCGCTATCCTTCTCTGAGGCAAGTCAGCCCCAAGGGTGGCCTTCATTAATGCCAGCCATGTAGATCTCCTGTAAATTTCCATTTTCTTTTTTCAGAACTGAAAACAAATGGCGGAAATGCTTTTTTTTAACCCCTCCTTCATTTTTTCCTCTTTGGGTTGTTTTTTTTTGGGGGGGGGAAATCATTGATTCTCCCACCCAATGGGTGACTTATACCATTAATGTAATTTTGGTGGTGGAAAAGACCACAGCCATCGTCTGCTTGTGTTATTGAGTATCTCAGTATATAATGGGACATTTTGCTTTGAAGAACATCAACATTGTCAACATCAAGAACTGAAGAAGCTTCTTGGATGAGAAGTGAAACTTTTTCAAGAGAAAAAAAACAAGAAAGTCCAGATGTTGCTTAGCTTTAGCAAAGTTAGCACTCTCTTCGTTTATTGCCTCTTTGACCATTCTAGGTCTACCATTTCTCTTGAGGGCACTTTGTCATCCCAGATTCAATTTCATTGCCGCTGCATTTTCTAAAAAAGGACTTTGATGTCAATATCTAGCAAAACATTTTGGAATAACGAACCTGCTTCACTGGCGTTTGGTAGCACGGGACCAAATTTAATCAGGATAAAAGGAAGAGTTTGAATCTTAACGAACACTAGGACAGTCAGGGAAAAAAAAAAAAGTGGGAAAACCCCCAAAGCTAATTTTCCAAATCCTACGGAGATGTTTATTATCAAGTAAAATAATCAGTTGATCAAGTAGACAGTATGAAGCAGAACTATAATGTTAAACTAGGTAGATATTTTTTTAAAAAATATATATATAATAATAATTATATTAGATGTTCTCTCCTGGATACCAGTTCAGAAATGTGCTATTTGATAACCATTCTGTCCACTTTCTTCCCTACTTCAATGGGCCGTATTTTTAGGACTGGGTACCACTCAGAATTCTTCAGCATTAGTGTTATAAACACGGCAAACAAATTAAGACGTTCTTCCGTTGGGTTTCTGCTGGCTTTGAAGAATAAAACCCATAAAAAATTGTGTGCGACGTTAATGGAAATTGTGCAAGACTTTGACTGATTAAATCCCAACTGTGCTTGGTCCGCTCTTTGGTATACTGAGCTTCTTCAATGAACATTTTCCCAGCACAAACTTATTTTCTTAAACAAACAAACCCTGCCACTGTTTGCATATAACTTTTTTGTTTTTCAGAGACTTCTGTTGCAGCAGATGTTTGAAAGAGATTAATGCTAGGCAGGAACTCTGAAAAAAAATCTAGAATTCTCCAAGCACCACAGAGAGCGAATCTCTGTTTTCAACACAATACTTTCATATATAAAACACATCTATATAAATCTATCTCTGTCTCAATTTCTATCTCTCTTTATTTTTTCTCTCTCTCTGCTTCTCATCTATCTTTCTATCTCTATGTATCTATCCATCCATCTCTCTCATTTATCTATCTGTCTATCTATCTACTTATCTACCTACCTACCTTATCTACCTACTCTATCTATCTATCTATCTATCTATCTATCTATCCATCCATCTACCCACCCACCCACCCACCCACTTACCTCTATCTATCTATCTATCTATCTATCTATCTATCTATCTATCTATCTATCTATCTATCTATCTATCTATCTATCTACCTACCTACCTACCTACCTACCTACCTACCTACCTTATCTACCTACCTACTTTGTCTGTCTGTCCGTCCATCCGTCCATCCATCCACCTACCTACCTACTTACCTTATCTCTCTCTCTCTCCATCCATCCACTCACCCACCTACTTACTTCTATCTATCTATCTATCTATCTATCTATCTATCTATCTATCTATCTATCTATCTATCTATATCTGCTTACCTATCTAACTACTTTATCTACCTACCTACTCTGTCTGTCTGTCTGTCTGTCTGTCCATCCATCCACCCACCCACCCACCCACCTGCCTACTTACCTTATCTATCTATCTATCTATCTATCTATCTATCTATCTATCTATCTATCTATCTATCTATCTATCTATCTATCAATCTATCATATATAACACATAATATAATGTTATGTATAATACTTCTTGTGGAACATGTTTGTGTATTTTATGCCTTAATCCATACGATAACGTTATTATGTCTTGAGAATGTCCATGTTATTACGTTACTATTATTATTACTATGTCTCTTAATGTCAATAGAGATATACTCTCTGGAGCTGGAGTAAAAACCATCATACTTCTGCCTTTACATCTTTTAAAATAAAATGGTACAATGTAACTCCTGATGACAAATAGCAGTTCTGGAATTTTTCTGTGTGCCAGCCCTGCTGAATGTAAGATCCTCTTTTTATCAGAAGATTGCCAGTCACCATAAATTAAATCTGGACAACCGTTTGTTTGAAATGGTATAGGGTTTCCTGCTTGAGCAGGGGGCTGGACTAGAAGACCTCCAAGGTCCCCTCCAGGTCTAGTATTCTATACATTCGGATTGATAACAGAGAACTTCATTATCCTTTGAATGTTTTTTTTTAAATTACTGTAGTTACCCAATCAAAAGTCAAGAAGAAGAGCTAAAGGATTCTCATTTAAACATTTGGAGAAAAATTGTTAACTCTCTTGCCTTGACCCTAATTTTTAAGGTACGCAGTTATAATATGCCACTTTGCAAATAAATAAAAAAACCCATTTCTTAACTTGAGTGCCTCAAGGTAATTTTTTTTTCCGCCTTCTGTATTCCCACCTTACTTTTTTTTTTTTGTACCCAGAAACCTATTCCAGAGTTAAGTTGTTTCTTCAGCCTTTCAATAGCAATTAATTTTTAACTTTTTAAAAAAGGCATTTCCAGTCTTAAGTATCTCCTCCCAGCAGACCCCAGCTTGGAAAAGTAGCTGTGCAGGAGCTGATAAAACCTAAACACTGGAGTGGTGAAGCAGCCCAGAGGCAAAATATTCAGCCAGGTTAATTTTGTTCTCAATCAGCAGGAACCTCCAATGGCATAATATTCATTTTGATGTCTTGGCCAGAGCTGTGCATTTGAGTTTTCTCCGGAAAGCTCTGGCTATCTTTCCTGCAAAGATCTGTAAGAAGATCAATTCAAAAATCATTTTCAATTCCTGATTCTTTTTTTCTTTCTTTTTTCCTTCCAAAGCCTACTGCGCTAAAAGTGGATCCAGGACCTTTTTGCCTTTCAAGCTGTTAATATAGGAGCAAATGAAGACGTCAACGTGTGTCGGGAGAAAGTTGGCGAGAAATACCTAGCAGAACCATGGGCACAGGTGAATGTCTCTTTGGTAGTTCTAGTTGCACGTTTATTATTATTATGGATCATTGCACCCCAGACTTAACAACTGTCGATAAGAAAGACAAAAAAGTCTGGATAGTGGACGTGGCAGTGCCTGGAGACAGCAGAATAGACGAGAAAGAACTGGAGAAGATAACAAAAAACAAAGACCTACAAATAGAAATAGAAAGACTGTGGCAAAAGCAAACAAGGGTAGTACCAATAGTCATAGGCGCCTTGGGTGCAATCCCAAAACAACTGGAGCACCACTTGGACACCATTGTTGTTGTTGTTGTTGTTGTTGTTGTTGTTGTTATTTTAAAAAAGAATTGTATTTGTCCCAAAGGTGCTTTTTCAAAAGGCAACCTGACTTTGTTTTTCCTTGAAGACATTTCGCTGCTCATCCAGGAAGCTTCTTCAACTCTCACGGAATGGTGGAGAATGGAAGGATTTATTTTCCTCACAATCATCTAGTCTTTAGGACTCCCCCTGAGAGTTGTTGAGGCCACCTGGACAGATAGACAGATAAACCTCCAAGTGGCCTCAATGCCTCTCAGAGGGAGCGCCAACGATGACAGCAAGTAATGTAAATCTTCCTGTTCTCCAGCATTCAGTCAGAACTGAAGAAGCTTCTGGGATGAGAAGCGAGACGTCTCCGAGGAAAAACAAAGTCTAGCTGCCTTTTAAGAAAACACCTTTAGGACAACCGTGATCTGGATGATGGAGAATCTCCCTTAGACAATAACATTCGGGGTGTCTCACAACAAAATTGCATTAGGTCACTTGGGGATCAGGATGGGAGGTTCATATTTTTCAGTGTCTCCCCCAGAACGTAGAATATACGCCAGGTTGATTTGATATCCTTCCCGTCCAATTTATTTTAACGTCCTGCCTAGCTCAAATTCATCCTTTTACTCCCAAGGAATTCCTGTGTGATGCTGTTGCGACAAAACCAATATTGAGTTGTACAGAAGCTGAACGGAAAACTAGATTTTGGCACAAACATTCAAGGCCAAGGAGGCCTCTAGTCAGAAACGCACGGCAGAGGTGAAGTTTTCAAGGGCCTCCCCCCCTCCTCAATTTCTTGCCGTGCTAAATTCATTATTCTCACCAAACCTATCAATGTCCTTGGGAATTTGTTTCCATAGGAACCTTTGCCCTTTATTGGGTTAGGTCTCAACAGACATTGTATATATTGGATTTTTTTTTTTTTTGCTTTGTGGCTGGTGCCGCGGTGTACTTTTTCCGGTAGATGAAGGAGAACAGGGAGAAAAGTACGATCCGAGATAATTGCACAGAAAGAATGGAAGAGAATTCTTTGGTTTGCCCACTGACCCGTCTAGCAATCCTGTTGATCAGAATATGCTTCTTTTCCATCAGCAGCTGATGGCTTGGGGAACATAGCTATAGATACAACACAATTTAACATGTCAGTCACTGATCCGTCAGCCTGGGCAACCGCAATGAATAACCTCGGAATGGTGCCGGTGGGATTAACTGGACAACAGCTTGTGACAGGTAAGGCTTTTGCGAAGATTTGTTGCGTAGATTGTTTATGGATTTTTGGGAAAGCCCTCAGATAAATGTCGAAGCTTTCTGAAGTTGTGTGCTGGGTGTGAGTGTCTTTAGTATACATTCAGGGATGTGTGTGTGTGTGTGTGTGTTTGTATATATTTGAATTTCTTTTTTTGTTGACAGAGAGTTAAAGAATTAAATGGGAGACTAGAATAGCTATTTCAAACTTTTTAGCTCTCATCAGCTAGCCATACCCTTATGGGGTTCAAACCCCATAAGGGTATGGCTAGCTGATGAGAGATAAAAAGCTCAAAATAGCTATTCTAGTCTCCCATTTAATTCTTTAACTCTTTGTCAACAGAAAAAAAAAGAAATTCGAATTTGTAGTGTATCGCAGTAGCAACCTGAGCCTGCTTAACACTCCTAGGCTGGGGCTGCAAGGCAAATGTGATCATAATAGTAGAACTGCAGTATAGCAGTTACAAAAACCAAGGTGCATTAATATATATGTGCTAAATTTTTTTTTTGATTGCTAACAAAGAATTAAAGGGGGACTGGGATAGCTATACTTCCTCCCATATTTGGGCCGAGAGGGTGCATCAAAAAAACACTCAAGACACACACACACACACACACACATATTGCTAAAGACAAAGATATCCTTTTATTAAAACTGTGCAATCTACTTTATTAATGCTATGTACAAGCCGTTAATCTCTTGCATTAACGAGCATCTAATCTATCTAGTACCTTTTCATGAAAAATAGAGAGAATTCCCCTAAGGAAATTGCAGGTGGTTTTTTTTTTAAAGCTACAAAATTATTTTTAAAACCCAGTGCTGGGCTGGCTGAATCCGAAAGGGAAGTTTCATAAGAAATATTTACTGGGGTTTTTTTTGTTTGTTTTTACTTTTAAAAAAGCTATTTTTTACCAAAGCATTTGTTAACATTCATGCAAAGGAGTAGCAATAGGAAATTAGTTAAAACCTTCTACTGTAGCAAGGGGGGGGGGGAAGAGGGTTGTTAGGCTAACTGAAAGAAATGCGGATAAAAATAGACACTTGGAATAAAGGAATCTAAAATAGCTCATTTTGCAACATTATCAGGTCACTGGACTCGAGAGTTCTCATCACTTCTGTTTTCCCCTGCGATCTTCAGTTGAGATCAAAATGTTAGGATTTAATTTGCATTCCGCCAGAATTTGCTACTGGAATGTGAAGACAGGCCCAAAATATCTAGCATATAATCTGTCAAGTTGCAAGGATTTGGTGGCGTTCTCTTTGAAAATCAAGTTAATCTTGGCTTCATACAACATTTCTGCAGGTGTTAATAATGATGATGATGATGATGATGATGATGATAATAATAATAATAATAATAATAATAATAATAATAATAATAATAATGAAGTTGGAGGGGACCTTGGAGGTCATCTAGTTCAACCCCCTGCTCAGGCAGGGAACCCTATACCATTTCAGACAAATGGCTGTCCAGTCTCTTCTTAAAAACTTCCAGTGTTGGAGCATTCACCGCTTCTGCAGGCAGGTTGTTCCACTGGTTAATTGTTCTAACTGTCAGGAAGTTTCTCCTTAGTTCTAGGTTGCTTCTCTCCTTGATGAGTTTCCATTCGTTGCTTCTTGTCCTGCCTTCAGGCGCTTTGGAGAATAGCTTGACTCCCTCTTCTTTGGGGCAGCCCCTGAGATATTGGAATACTGCTATCATGTCTCCCCTTGTCCTTCTCTTCATTAAACTAAACATACCCAATTCCAGCAGCCGTTCCTTGTATGCTTTAGCCTCCAGTCCCCTGATCATCTTTGTTGCTCTTCTCTGCACTCTTTCTAGGGTCTCAATATCTTTTTTACATTGTGGTGACCAAAACTGGATGCAGTATTCCAAATGTGGCCTTACCAAGGCATTGTAAAGTGGTATTAATACTTCACGTGATCTTGATTCTATCCCTCTGTTAATGCAGCCCAGCACTGTGTTGGCTTTTTTGGCAGCTGCAGATTTATTTATATTTACACCCTGTCTTTCATTCAAGGTAGCGTGCACGAGGTTTTTCCCCTCCTGTTTTTCACAGAAACGATAACTATAAGAGGTTGGTTGGGCCGAGAATGAATGAATGGCACCCAAAGAGCTTCTGTGGTTAAGAAGATCTAGGACAGGGCTAGGCAAACTTGACCCTTTCATGACTGGTGGACTTCAACTCCCAGAATTCCTGAGCCAGCCATGCTGAGGGGAAAGGGAGAGGTTTCCAAGCTGAGCCATGTTGGCTCAGGAATTCTGGGAGTTGAAGTCCACCAGTCATAAAAGAGCCAAGGTGGCCTACCCCTGATCTAGAACAACGGTTTTTCCCCTCAAGGTCTGCCATCTTGATCACTATAGATAGCCCTTGACTTACTACAGTTCACTTGGTGTTACAACAGCAATGAAAAAAGTAACTTATGACCATTTTTCCCACTTATGACCGTTGCAACATCCCCACGGTCATGGGATCAAAATTCCGACACTCGGCAATTGACTCATATCCAGTGGTGGGATTCAGATATGTGAACAACCAGTTCTCTGCATGGATGCCGCTTCCGGAAATCCATTCTGGGCCTGCTGGGCAACAAAAAATTAGCTACTGGTTCTGCTGAACCGGTGTGAACTGGCTGAATCCCACCACTGCTCATATTTATGATGGTCACAGAATAGAACAGAAAATAGAATAGAATGGAATGGAATGGAATGGAATAGAATAGAATAGAATAGAATAGAATAGAATAGAATAGAAATAGAATAGAATAGAATAGAATAGAATAGAATAGAATAGAATAGAATGGGCCTTGGAGGTCTTCTAGTCCAGCCCCTGCTCAAGCAGGAGATCTTACATCATTTCAGACAAGTGACTGTCCAGTCTCTTCTTAAAAATCTCCAGTGATGGAGTGCCCACAACTTCTGAACGCAAGCTATTCAATCAGAATAGAGCTGGAAGGGACCTTGGAGGTCTTCTAGTCCAGCCCACTGCTCAAACTGGAGACCCTAGACCATTTCAGACAAGTGACTGTCCAGTCTCTTCTTAAAAACCTCCAGGGATGGAGCGCCCACGATGTCTGAAGGCAAGTTCTCTCCACTCCATCTCTAACTTCTAATTTGCCCTTGAAAATCAGCAGGCAGTTTCAGGGAAGCTGCCATGATAATATTACAGTTTACCGACACGTGAAAATAAAAAAAAGTAAAATAAAAATCACACAGCCCTACAAATTACTTGAAAAGGGGCAAAATTCTTCCACTGTATTATCACGGCAACAAGTCCCATCAATTCTGTGGGGTCGGCCGATACGATCCGCTTACGGGTAGCACAAAATCAATGGGGAAGGCCCGATTCGCTGAAGAACAGCTCGACTAATTTAACAACCAGAGCAACCCACTTAACAACTCTGGCAAGAAAAGTTGTAAAATGGGGCAAAATCCACTTAACACGTGTCTCGCTTAGCAACGGAAACGTTGGGCTCCATTGTCATTGTAAGCCAAGGACCACCTGTAGTTTATCAGCTGGTTTAAGGGGGAAAGCTACATGAGGAAAAAAAAAAAGAGAGAGAGAGAGAGAGAGAGAGATCTGAATGTACAATCTGTAAATCTGTCCAGGCTGAAATCCCTCAGCCATTCTTATAAATTAATCCTTACAAATCACTGGTCCTTCTTGATAGGGTTCTAATTATCTAATTGCCTTGCCAAATCCTCAAAGATTTATTGATTTCCCTCCCCCACCCGGATGATGTCATCCTCTTTCACTTGTGAGAGTCCTGAGTTTTCCTGAGGCTTCATCCATCTTTTTCTCATCACACGGAATCCATTAAGGGGATAGAGATGAGCCTGCAGCACAATTGTTCTTCTTCTTTGGATTTTAGGAACTCTCTGAGTGCATTGCCTGTTACAACACAACAGAAATGAAGAGCAGGCACGTGTGTGTGTGTGTGTGTGTGTGTGTGTGTGTCACAGCAAACATAAAGAGTTAGGGAACTGGGCAAAGAATAAACACAACGGGCGGCCCGTTGTGTAGGCTGATCGTTTCATTTATGGCAGCAGAACAGAGTACCAAGCAGTGTGTCTTTTGTTAAAGCTAGGGAATCAGACAAAGGAATGTTTTTAGGGGAGATCAAGGTTTGATTGCAAAAAAAAGAGAAAAATCTACTTAAATGCAAGTAGTCCTCAATTTACAAGAGTTTGTTTAGATGTCCCTGTGGAACATCATCCCTGCAGAGATGACAGTGGCCCCAATTTGGACATTTTTTCCTCAAGGCCCTGAAGACCTGGTTTTGCCAACAAGCCCGAGGAACCCAGAGTGGAATGGAGCCCATCAAGTGGCTTGTCCCAAAGGTGCTGTTCAACAGGCAACTGGACTTTCTTGGTTCGTTGCTTGAAAACATTTCACTTCTCATCCAAGAAGCTTTGCCCAGTTCTGACTTCAGAAGCTGAAGAAGCTTCTTGGTTGAGAAGCGAACCCTTTTCAAGGCAAGAACCAGGAAAGTCCAGTTGCCTCTTGAAAAAGCATCTTTGGGACAACCAGGACCTGGATGACTGTGAATCTCCTTTGACATCAAGGGGCTTGTTTGATTAGCTGTTGTCCCCGGGTGGTGGTGGTAATGGAAGGCTATTGCTTTTTTATTGTTTTCTATTAAGTTTTGTATCTTTATAAGCTGCTGAGAGTTACTGAGGTTGAGTTGAGCATCCATATATACTGTGGGCACAACTATTAGGCAAGCTGTGCTTTGGAGGGTTAATTTTCTTATTGAACAACGACGGTGCTCTGGGTCAATCCCAAATGCTAATAAAACTCAAACCTGAATATTTAAGAAAGTAAAAGTGAGGCTTTGGCTGTCTTCAGAGACTATCTATGTGTGCACAATTATTGGGCCACTATTTGTAATACCATCAAACATCCACATCTGCCTATCCCAGGTCCTGGGTAAGGACTCGATAGGTAGATAAAATGCCAAATCCAGTCTGAACATCTGGCTG